TTAACAATTATTCCACGAGCGCGCGTTGGATATGAGATGATAGATAGCCAACGAGGTGCGTAGCGCCTCGTTGGCTATAATCATCTCATATCCAACAAGCGCGAGTGGAATAATTGTTTTATTAAAAACGCCCTCAAGAGATTATTATTTTGTGAGAAGAAACCGGATTTTTTAGCTCCCTTTTGATTTTAAACTGACGCGTACGCTTACCATATTTGTAGATTATGGTATATTGGCTCATATACCAGAATGGCTAAGCCAATAAAAAGTCTTGAATTGCATTATCCAATGATCCAGTTTTTAATAATAATCGTTAGCCCAGGGTTCCCATGCTCCTTGAAAGTCCTTGAATTTAATTTTCGGTTTTCAAGGACTTGAAAACCCTTAAATTTAGACTCACGCCCTCGAAAATTTCTGAAAAGTCCTTTAAAATAAGTACGAATGAATCAAAGTCGAAGTTTTCTTTTGTTTTCGATGTTGAAAGTGTAAGTTTCTAGCACAAATCGAGAAAACGAGTTTTCCTTTCCAATCCCTTGTCCGATTGTGATGTTTGACACGTGATTTTTATATATTTTGTACCTAATTGGTGTATTGAAAATAACCTTGGTTACCCAGCTCGTGATCACTCTGATGTGCATGCTTGAAGTCACGCTCGTTGGACTTTTCGGCCGGTCTTGCACGCACGCTCGTGTTATTGAAAGGTCCTTGAATTTAGAGCCAAGGTCCTTGAAAATGACCTAAAAAGTCCTTGAAAGTCCTTGAATTGGGTTCCTGAAAAAGTGCAACAACCCTGTTAGCCGTAAAATGGAAAAATTTTTAACTGTTAGTCGTAAAAGCCATCACCCCATTAAAACCTTTACTTATTCCTTTACATCCGGACATAAAGTTTATATTCTCCATAGTGATCTCTATTAATTTTCTGACCTTTTGATTCAAGGGTGATAGTGTAGGGAAAAATTGGAAGCTAGTTACTCTTAAGGGTTACTGACTACTGCTTTCTCCTTGTATTTAGGGTGTGCGTGGATCAACAGGCAGAGATGGAATAGAGGTAAGAATCCTTCTATTGGTACAAAACTGACTGCCAATATACTGCCAATTAGGGGGGAGAGGATTAAAAAAATTACGGTACCTTTTGGGAGGACAACAAAAATCCTTTAACCCCATCCAGGCGATAAATAAGAAAGACAAAAATGCGTGATATTTTTGAAAACTTTTCAAAGCTATCGCAACACTTGCAAAGAACTGCATCGTGGGCTTTCATAACTTGTTTTGACGAGGGTATGTAAACATGGGAAAAGTCCTTTATTGTTTAACTAGAGTTCATATGCATATCTATATGTTCTGGCGAAAGTATATTTCCTAAACGGCGTTATCCCACAAGCAGACGTTTTCTGCGATATTCAGACTTCAATATGAATAACAAAAAAAAACAAAACAAAACAAACAAACAAAAAAAAGACGCAGGGAGTGATCCTGAGTTTCCTTTTTTCTTTCCTGCTCTTTAGGGAGACCCAGGTGCTGCCGGTCCGCCAGGACCTATGGTAAGAATGTCTTCATTACTTACGTCAATAGACAGCTCTACTGTACCGCTAGCCTTAGAAATTACTCTTCGGATGGATGATCTCTGTTTAGACCTTTTTAGAACCTTCTCACCCCGGATATTTGATACCTTAGTCATGGTTTTCCGGAGACTTGAAAGTAAACTGGAGGTAGAAAGTGGACGGTGACGAACTTGTTTAATCTAGTTTNACCGACTACTTGTCGTTAATGTTTGTGTTTATGTGCCTGTTATACTGATGTTTATTTTGTGTTTGCGCTCTTGTCCCATTCATGCCTCTATTGCTAGGGTCCTCCTGGATCTTATCTCATCGGTGAAATTGTAAGTGTCGTTTTCTTTTTCTGTTATTATCACTATGTGTGACATGAAATAGTTTTCACTTTGAAATCTGCTTCCGTTCTAAGGAAACTCTTACAATGCTTGTCTGTGTTGTCTTCCACGAGGGCTACAGTAAACAACAACAAAAAAAATGTGATAGTTTAATTTAACCACGTTTGTATAGTCTGACATAAGCAATTTATTTTACGCATAGTAATAATACAGATATCTACGTATTTTATAAGTAAACAGTCTTACTCTCTAGCCGCTTGACTTTTGCTATTTTGCTATCTCAATAAAATCTGTAATCTGATGTCGATGTCATCAATTAAGATCACGACGAGATTGAATTTAACAGATTTAACAACGATTAGGTATTCCAATTATTGACTTTTACACTAGTTGGTGTACTGACCATGATATCTGGGTTGATCGAAGATCAAGTTTTTCCTCACGCAGGCGGCCATGTACCATCTTTTGTAATTGCTGTATATGAGGCAGAAATCTAACTTCTGCCTTGTTTTCAGATAAATGGAGCAAACAAGGGACCCCCACCAAACTTTCGACTGTACTCGAGCTCAGAGGTAATACTGTATTTACTTAAACCACAGTATAGTATGGCAAACAGGTGTGGGAACATATTGAATTTTACCATATGGTTAATACTGCGTGACAATGGCGCACGTAAAACCACGTTGGGCTGGTTATTTAATCAAAGTTTAGCCGTTGTTTAACAAAACCGCGTTTTAAATTGTCTTCAATTTAGCCGAACCTTTTATCTGAACATTTATTTTTGTGAACTCTGTCAAGAGGGCCGAAAGCTAACAGTGGAAGTGAATTCCTGAGGCCCGTTGCTTGCGTAAAACCGCGGCGTGGGTTAGACCTTGTTTAAATAACAGGCCCAGGGTAAGGATAAACCTCTCTGGGAACTGGTACCCCTCCGAAATCTTGAAAGAGTGTGCCAACTGTTTCGTCAAATGTTTGCCCTTCACTTTGTGAGTATTTTTTACTTCATCATGTTACGACTACCTTCAGTGTGGGCCAGCTTGCTCTATCGACGTCAAGTCCTAACATCGTCATGTCACCGACTTTAGTCGCACTCTAATCGCGTGTGTCAGTTGATGTATCACGTGCACGAAGCTCTTGTGGAAAAGCTTACCACGTAGGTCGCGTGATGTCTAATCAGCCAATGGCAGTCCGATCAAGAGAATGAAAAGCCTCGAATGGAGAAGAGTGTAGTTTCTTATCGAGTCAGCTTCCAGGGTTACTGCAGACACTTAATCAATGTGAACGCAGTTACGATTTCTCTGGGCTGTTTTTAATCTGTGTTTAGCTTTTCATGAGTTCAATTTATATTTTATTGGCTTGATTTTTTTCCAACTCGTTCTCTTTTGCACAGAGTACTTCACCTCGAGAAGAAACTCGTTTGCTTGAGGTAAGCTTAGATTTGATCAAGCTACAATTTTTGTTGTCTGACCGTTGTAACAAATTGTGAGATATACAGGTAATAAACATGTCAAGGGTCTTCAGCTTGAAAATAGTGTTGAAGTCATACCCAAAGATATAATTATTTGAAGACACTTGAACGCCATTGAGAGGTTTGATCAAACACAGTCATTACTTTGGTCATCATTGTGGTCATTATGATTTGTACTATTATCAACATCATTGTTATCTTTATTATCATTGTTTATTTTATTATCATTATATTATGTACTATTATTTTTACTATTGTTGATATCAGTGGCTAATCGCTGATTATCTACCTTTCCTTCAGCACCCTGAGATGAAAAAGGTCCTGGATGGTCTTACAAAACATACTGATCTGTATAGAAGGCAAAAAGGCAGCAAGTATCACCCGGCACGCTCGTGTCGAGATTTGCAGCTTGATCTGGATAGTAACGATACTGTACACAGCGGTAGGTTTCGTGAAATCCAGTTAGAGCAATTTTCAACTGTGTGTGAAAAGCAATACGGGATTGAATTGTTTTTGCCCACTTTGCTTTGTGGTTGGTTTACAAATCGTGTGCAAGCTTTCCGACCATTGAGATGTGAGCAAAACTAAAACCAATTTACGTCTAAGTCAATGGCATTTTCCTGCGCTTCAGGAAGTTTTCTTCCGTTGTCATTCGCTCTCTCTTGTATTTCATTTGTTTTTTATCGCTATTCGTGATAGAAATTTAGTTTTGATTATATGAATAACGCTACTCAATCGAAATCGGCTCTTCTATAAAGCTCTGTGAAAGTACAATGCGCCAAATAGGTTATTTTTTACCTAGGTATCAAATATGTCCGAGAATTTGGGGCCACACTGATGGAAACTAAGGCTGCAGAATTCATGACGCGGAAATTAAGGTTTATTTCGTGTATTAAAGTACTTCGCGGGTTTGGTTTTGACTTGATATTGATTCTCATTCGGCGCTTGTTCGCATTGTAAAAAAATGCAGTATGCTAAGCAATCATCTCAAGGTTGACTCAACAGAGTTCAGGAAAACTACAGAGGCACAGCCAAGCTTAGAAAAAATAGTGGTTGTACAAAAACTCTGCCCTCTTTCCTGTTCTCTTCTCCGTATCTTCTTAGTAATGATATTATCCTCAGTTTTTTATTCTCGCTTGCAGGCTTTTACTGGATCGATCCTAATGAAGGTTGCATCAGTGATGCTGAATACGTTTATTGCGACTTTGAAAACAGCAGAGTTTGTGTACATCCGAAAAAAGAAAACGTGAGTTTACCTTTTACCACGGTGCATCTCCCACTACCACAAATTTTCGTATTACTGTGATGTTTCAAGTTTCCTCTGTTTACTCCAACATGAGGATTTGCCCAGGAAATCGTGTCAGTGCAAAGAAATTTTGCTTCTTGTTTTCCAGATTACCATAGATGATCCGAAGGCCAAGCAATGGATCAGCGAAGTTCACCCGGATGTGGAGCTTGTAAGAAGTACTTAAACTGGCCGTAGATTACACAAGTCATTTATTATACTCATTACGATCAGACTCGTGTCATTCCCAACCTGCTAGGGCCCTGTGGAGGAGCAAAAGTGATTCAAGGGGGAAGGGGGTAGGGGAAAGGCATGGAATTTGAGAGGGGGTCGTGGCAGTGAGTTGATGGGTACCTCCCAAATAAAGGGCCTGAAAAGCATGAATGAGTAATCCCCAATAATTTTTGAAAACTCTTAGAGTTTTAGAGTCACAAAAATCCAGAATTAAAAAAAAGCCACGGAGTATCATGGTATTTTCAAACCCGAAAGAATTATCAACTAATCGTTTAAAGACTACAATTTCTCGACTGAACGCCTTTATTTTCATTTCAGATTTCATACAACATGGAACCTGTACAGATGAGGTTCCTGCGTCTTTTGAGCATGCGCATCACTCAGAACGTAACTTATCACTGCTACAACTCCCGTGCATGGGAAGATGATAATGACCGCACCATTAAACTCCAAGGAGAAAACGAAATGGAATTAACATCATCTGAGAAAACAAAGCCCAAAGTTGTCACAAACAGCTGTGATGTGAGTATTTACTTTGTCGCTCACATTTCTTTTGAAGAAGGTTTAAAACAAGGTGGTTTATATTGCCTCGTGTCTGAACGGTTTAAGATAACAAAACTTAATCAGAAATCAAGTGCGTGATTTTGAAATCGAACGAGGGGTACGCCTGTGCGCACGAGGAAGCAGATTTGAAGTTACCCGACAAGATGTTCGACGGCCCCTTTTTTTTATGTAAATGGTGTATGTCGTTCTTCTCTCTCGGAAATCTCAGTAATGCTTGTTCGTCTAATAATTTCGCGGATTTATACATTTTAACATGCGTGAATGATCAAATACGTGGTTAATTTGGTTTTAAAGTTTGGTTCTTTCTATTGATCAAGTTATAAACCCAGCCCTTATGGTTGGTCTCAGGGGTCTCTTTCCTTCGTGACTGTAGACGATAAAAAAAAAGAGAGACATTGGATAGAGGTTCCTCCACCTCCTTCGCTCACGCATGCGCCTCACTGCATTTAATTCTCATGCCTTTTTTTGTAGAATAAAGATAGTTCTTGGCATCAAACTGTCCTCGAGATAGACACGACACAAAAGAACGCCTTGCCTGTTGTGGACGTAGCAGCTTACGATGTGGGAGACAAGCTCGTGGAACAGAAATTCACTATCCAACTTGGACCAGTGTGTTTTGTGTATTAGCTGCGAGGTTCGAGATACGAAATAACCTTTTAAGCAAACAGATCTAATGTAAATTTGACGAGTGGACACGTTTTTATGTCGTATTTGAAGTGTGCTTAGATATTGAGGTCATTTATCTGAGCCTGAGGTTCTCTATTATAGTCTTCGCAAAGATGTGGTATTCGAGTATACATCTTGAGCAATAAACTGGACAAAATTTCATTGTTAGTGAAACTGGATTATCCAGCGTTCTTTTTCTAAGCAGCGGATGGAAGTTCTTATCCTGTATAGAAGATTTCCGCAAACTAAAGAACCTTTCTGTAGAAGGACAATAAACAGATTTAGCCTATAAGGTCGCTCAAATATCAAAATGAAAAAGTTGTTATTTAAATGTAATTTTCTGTATAAATCATTTTAGTAACATGACTTAATGCTGGTAGTGATAACTTGTGCTTTTCTCAAAAGATATTTGTAGTACACTGTTCCTAAATCAAAGATACCCCAAAGCAATGCAACGCGCCTGCTTAGGAGGTATCGAATGGTCATTTTGAATGACAGAACATGGAAAAAATTACCACCAGGAATAGTAGGATGTTCTCTGTCGTGTGGTAACATGTGTGACAGATGCAGAATAATGATCGTAAATAAATCATTGCCTTATTGGGAGAAAGTAGCGGTGAACAACGCAACCCGAATCCCGCCATCCACAACCATTGCAACCCCGTTTCAGTACTGAGATAACACGAAACGCTCGATCTCTTGTTCAAGGAACGATACATTACTTAAAATGCTTGCGTGGTTAGGAAGCGTGCGCGAGTAATTTCTAGAAGCTCGTGGATTGACGCTGGGTAAGCGTGGGTTTTTTTTTGCTTTGTTTTTTTGTTTTTATTTTACGGCGCGTTTTTGTAGAAGAGGTGTAAATAAATACACGCGAAATGCGCGCTAGACGCTTAGCCCACTTACCCTTCCTGGAAAAATAACTGACAGGGGTGCCAGAGTTATCTCTCAATTGCTCAGGAAATAATAGGGTATTAATATGCGAGTTTCGGAATCGCGAAACTGCGAAGAAAATCAAATAGAAAAAGAAAATAAATAAGCGATGGAGAAGATTAACAGAGGTGTAAAAATACCTAAATAAGGAATAGCGGAATAATTTACGCTATTTTCGGAATTGCGCAAACAGTTTTGGCGAGCAGTATTCTACTGGCTGAAAACCTAGAAAAAAGCTGTGCGGTGCAGCACAAGTTTCTTCACTTCCGGCTACTTCCCACGTATGAGGTCAAAAGAAGGTCAAGCCTTATCTCGTGTTACTCGCCACAATTTTCACAGTTGTGTGTCGATAGCTATAAAGTATACCAGGATTACATGCATGTTTAGGTGTAGTCAGGCATAACCTCGCTGTAGTGTTCAATTATCACGGGGTTATGCGCGAAAGTACAAGAGGTTTTGTCGAATAGCGAATCGTCAGAGGATCTGCGAATGGCGTTCGTGTGGTTTACTGAACGAAACAGGGGCGCTGTTTGGCCGTTTTGGCCTGGAAACGAGTATAGATTTAAACATCTATGGTCTTGAATCCGGTATTTCTTTCAAAGGAGCCTCGGGAGCGTCTCACGTCAATTGTATTTTCAGTCCCAAATAATTAGAATTGAGAAAGAGAAATAACTAAAATGCGTCATTTGACCAGATTTTGCTGGAAAGAATTTTACTATTTCTGACTTCGGGACTGGTGCAGTTACGCGCTACACTAAAGCCAGTGAGATGGATTTTAGAGGCCTGTTTTGTAGAGCAACACCCCAGAAACTATACCCTGTAGGCTGGCACATACCTGTGAGGGAGAATAAGGGAACTGCCCTTGGGCTCGTTGCACCAAAGTGAATCACTCTTGTCAGACACCGTATGGTATTCATGCCAGATTTTCATCCAGAATAGGGCGTCGGATTTTTGTCAAGATTGCCACCTCTGGTCATATAAACATTAGGGACTTTAAGAAACCACGACGGCGACGCCAAGGAAGACTTCGATTAAAAAATGAATTTCTACTCTTAGTTAGAATTTAAAAAATGGCTGCAGGAGCTTACTGTCTCATACAGCGCCACAGCTCAACTTCAGCATGACGTATAAAAGTAGCGTTGAGTTCCAAATGGAAATTAAAATTATTTGCCGTCGCGGTTTCGGTTCGCAGACGACGCAAATTTTGACGATTTCACGTTCTTGTTTTGCATAGGACGGCTAAGAAATGTACAAAGTTTTGAAACGCACGTGCTGAGCTATTGTTCTGACAATTAGATCTCTTGTTTTTCCACGTCCTCGTTGCCGTCGCCGTTAGTTACGGCAGGGTAAAGGGTTTCATAGTCTCCTCTCGCAGCCGTTCTTTGTCTCGGGATCCCTGTTGGGGAGGGAGACACAGGGATCCCGAGACAAAGAACGGCTGCGAGAGGAGACTAGGGGTTTCATCGACGCAACTTTATTTCTCCTCCTATCTACAACGTTCTTACTTGTCAGGCTGGCTTTTCATTTCAAGGTCTCTTACAATTCAATTAAAAAGAAAACGTCACGTTTCTTACGTTATTTCTGTCTAGACATTACACCACCTGATTGCATGGCTATAACCCTGAACGCCCTGTTGTTATCAAATATCGTCTAATCATTGGTCCGTCAAAAGACATTCGATATATCTCTCATTTCTACAGAGCGATCTTTGCACGTCCTCTGCTGCAGTCGCGCGGGGTTGTGTTGAATTCAGGTCTTGTTCCCGGTGTGTAGTGCTATCTGCATTTTGCGCCGAAAAGGACCGTTAAAGGTGGCCTGCAAGCATGGCCTGTTCCCGAGCGATTGTGTTGTTATCTTTCCTGCTACTGTTGGCGTGTCGCATCCAAGCACAGCAACGTAAGTACCTTGTTTATTTCACGAAAGGACAATGAGCGTTTCTTCGTCTGAGGCGTCGTCTAAATCCCTCGCCTTTTTCATTTCTCTTCTATTTTTTACTATTTTGGACAACGTTATCAAACTCGTAGATATAAGCTGACCTTTTGCAGAGATTTATACTTGCCTGGCAGTGTGATTTTGAGAAGGATACTCTCTGGCTTATGGGTTAGGTTAGAAATTCTCCACGGAAATCCTGGGCCGAAGCATTCTCACGAAGGCTACTATTTCAGTTCGTGATCAGACTGTTACGAAATTCATCAGCTCCTTGCATCACTCTCTATAAAAACGCCATTAGCATGTTTATCGTCTCAGGCGAAAAAGAAGTATTTTTTTCTCAAAATTGTTTCTTTTGAAAGCGCCATACAAATACTTTAGGGTATTGTACATGCGCGGCATCAGCTATTATGGAAAGAGTACAATCGTGTGTTAGCGATAACAAAGAAAGGTGTGTACGGTTTTTTGACGGATTTTACTTGAAAAGAAATACTTAATCTCCTAAAGACTCGTCTTGGGAAGCAATTTTCGAGTGTCTGAGAGATCTCCCGTCCAAAATTATACTTACTGTGGTAAGTCGTGACTTAAACAATAACCCTTTGTGACTTGTTCGCTGTTGGCTCGTCACACGTTCAAGACGGCATATTTTGCATTTAATTTTTTCTTCCAACTCAGTTTATTCCTTACTAATAAAGAAAACAACAAGGTATGAATCTCCTCAAAATGACTGGTTAAATTTAGTTTTAAAGGATCTTTTCATACATACCATAAATATCTGCGGATCTGGAATTATTGTCACGCAGAGAAAGCGTGACATAACAAGAGCCTATTCATGTACGATCGGATCGCAAATGGAGGCAAATTCTGCATTGCAATTTTTTCGTAAAATTGAAAAAAGCTTTCTTCATCGTCCAGTTCAATGAGTCGAACGGAAAATGTTCATTTGTTGAATTTTTAGCAATGATAAAGTTGAATAACTGGACGATTTCATTTTAACTGGGGAACTTTGCGCATGCTTACTTGCGCCAGTTGGGAATTGGCGACCTTTGGGTCAGCTGAGATCTGTGAAAGAGCGTTTTGTAGTGGAAAGTAATGAACAGTGCCGTGTTGTTTTTGAGCGAGGCAGCTGTATCTTTATATTTCAATCTTCATTTTAAAATCGCCACTCTTTTTAGCTCAACGGTGGTCTTCACTCGCGCCTTTTTGTGGGAATCGCTGTTCGTAATGCTATTGTTGATAGAATTCCCGCCATACAAAGTAGTTATTCAATTTTTTTCAATAATCTTTACCATCTTTAAGGATAATTTGAGCGCTCAAAAAAACGTTGAGTCCTCGAAATGAAAGCTGCGTGAGGTTTTTTTCTTGTTGTTGTGTAATTACCGGTAATTGATGTGCACGCGGTAATTATTATTTTTTTATCAATTAATTTCTTTAAAAATTGGATTTAATAGTGAAGCCAGAAACAGTCTTCTTCAGTCTACCAAAGCGATCTCTCAGAAAAATATCAAGGTCAATGACGTGGATTCCATAATTAATAGAGTCAAGATTCAGTTTTGAAAATATCTCCTAAAACGCATTGTAATCACTGAGGTACTTGAAGAGTAATTTTCGTAGTCGAACTGTGAAACATTTGTGAAAAAGTCCCGTAGAGTTCAAACAAACATGTCTTGTCACGTGCCCTCTCTTATTTACAGATTAAGAAGATTACCAGTACATTTTCTTTAATTGTCTGTACCTTATTGTTCTCAAGGTCTTCCTCATTAGTAGTAAAACATAGATCTGTTGGAAAGTGCATGGTTTATTTGTGCACATGAAAGCAAGGCTATCCAGTCAAGCTTCTCTAAAGCTTCACTAGATCTGAAGCTTGACACCCTGGCCTTGCTTTTGTGTTTGCAGTAACAGGAAACTGCTGTCCAACTAAGCCATTCACGTGGAACTGGAATACGCCTCGCCTATTCTATTATTCCTAATAAATGATCTTGTGTGATGCCTTCTCTTTGTACACAGTTATCTGTCCGGAATATGAAGAACCTGGAGAATGTCCGACTGATGAAGAAGAGGACAGCCTCTGTCAGCCAGCAGGAGGTATAGGAAGTGACTCTGGATGCCCACCAGGCTTGATGTGTTGTAACACAGGCTGTAACTTTCTAGATTGCATAGGTAAGTTAGAACAACATATGTGGCTTTCCCTAATATATATGGAGGCAGTAGCCACAAAAATGGACTGGAAAGAGATTTTTTTTGTAGTTCAGGACCTTCTCTTAAATACAGAGGTTGCACCCCTCCAGTTTGGGTTGAAAACCTTCCCTTTTTTGGCACATTTGTCTTATAATTCTCATCCGTTTATTGACTTATGTCATAGTTTGCTACATGTACTCACAACAGTAGGAACCCCTGCCAACTAGACTTTTCATGGACAGTTTGAGTGATGTGAATATTGATTCAACATGCAAATTTTGTGACCTTAGGAGTCTTAGGAGAGCTATACCTGCATGGCAAACTGACTGTTAAGTATAATGCATCAATTAGTTAAGATGACAACACAATTTTGTTTCTTAAAATTGCAGGATCTTTTTTATACAGTCACTCTATTTTCTAATAATATTTTGCACCCTGTATTCACAAGTTTACCTCAGTGTGATTTTTTAGTTCAGTTTTGAATCTAACTGCGTGAAAGGGTGGTGGAAGTTTTCACAACTTAAACAGAACTATAACAAAATTGTCAAACATGAGTGGTTATCATGACTCACTTGATTCGAGGGCTAAGACTACACAGTCCAAGTCAGTTGACGACTTGTAATTGGACAGTGTAATTGAATAGTATATGTCCTGCATGTGTTACCTTATTAATGGTTGTTTTCTGTTAAAAGGAAAAAAGGATCAAAGCTTTGTTTCTTAAATTTTGTCATAGTTTAGATTAATTTGTAATAATAGGACTCATAATCATACTCATAATTAGCAAATCCAACTCCTAATTTGGGCTTGTCCAATTTTTTTAATTACTAAGAGTGTTAACAGACTGAATTGGACTCCACTCTGTTGTATAAACATTACCAGAGGTACATAATGCTAAAAAAAGGCAATCCTGCATAACTTTTGACACTTAATCTGTGATGTATGTAAATCCAAATCATGAGATCAGTCAGAAACCTCTAGTTCTTTCTTGTTCTTTATTATCCTTGATCGGCCCATTCAGCGCTCTCCAAGGAGAATACTCAGCCTATACTTACTTGACTCAAAACAACCCTTTTTTTTTTTTGTTGATTTAAAGTTTTTTCCAGCTTAACTGTTGCCACCGCAACAGTTAAGCTGGAAAAGACTTTAAATCAACTCCACAAAAGGATGAGAAACGAAAGGCAAAGCAAAGCTTAAAATTTCATGACTGAACTGCGAAAACTAAAATCACGGGTCCAAAGAAAACAATGAACTACATTAAACTAATTACTATTGGCGGGAAAAGACACGACACAATCTTAGCAATACTCCAAATCAACTCATGCATTTGAAATTGATTAGGGGTCTGAGAGGAGTGGCTTCCTAGCTTCTGGTTTTCATTTAACCCGAGAGTGACCAAGACAGAATGTCTCCTTACAATAGCAGACAATTAAGTAATTAGAATAAGGAAAAAAGAAAATCAGGGGTTTATCAGTTGATCCAATGCCAAATTCTTCAAACTAACATTGTAAGAATTGTATGGCAGACTGTAAGGAGAATCGCTATTGAGATCTTGGGGGTGAAAGGTTAATTACGCTAGTTACCGTAAATCCTGTAATAAATTAACCCCCCCCAAGCTTATTTATTTCAGGTACTTTTGGGGAGGGTGGCTTTTAGAAGGGGGGCTTAATAGAGGGGGGGAGGGCTAATTAATTTAGCCAGATGTTCACTACCAGGATACAATGGGATATGATGTACCATATTTAATAAAAAATTATTCTCAGTTGACATTTTTTCATTTACCAAATTGGCAGAGTCAAAATCCTCAGTAAAGTCTGACGAGTTGTATAATTTGTCGTAATCATTTTGTAAATCAGTAAAGCAGAAACACAACAAAACGGCAAGCTAAAATCAAATGAATGACAATAATGAAATGCCTCATAGTACTAGAAAGGCTTGATTATTCTGAGGGGGAGGGGTGGGGGGTTACTAGAGGGGGATGGTTTATTAAAGGGGGGGGGTTTATAGAGGCTTTATGGTAATGATAACTGATATTTTGAATGATTTTTTTTCCATTAGCCCCTAATAAACAGCAAATACCAGCACAGAAGGTAAGGCTTGCATTCTAAAGGAGAAGCTCATGGAATCATTTCAATTGTATCATCACCAGTTATTCAAGTAGATAAACCAAAGAATATAGAGCACATTTTTTATGAGTTTATAGCAGTATAAAAATCCATGCACAAATAAAGTTGGGAGAACAGAAGAAAAATTTTAAATCACAAGGTGGAGGCAAGTGATAGTTCTTACAGCATTAACACTGGGTGAATACTGTTCTGAACCAATAGAAAATGCAGTCCATTGCTTTTGTAATTCAAAAGCTTTCAAAAATTTATGGGTTTACCTGTGCAACGAGGGAGAGTTTTTTTTTACCAATCAGGGAGCCTGTAGTTTATCACTTATTTTACAAAATAAAATTAATATTTCTGAAACTTGCATATTTTTCGTTTGGAAGTGGCTAAAATTGGCTTTGTTTGCCACAATGTGGATTTGCTTTTCATTGTTTTCTTTTAGTTGTTAATTCTGGGGTATACTTCCTATTGGTGATCTGTTGGTCACATGTTTGTTATGTTTCACCAACAGGTTTTTGTCAGGAAGCTGTTTACAATTTCTGTTTAAACTCTGGGCTTGAAATTGCACCTGTATCGGGTGCATTTGTGAATAAAGATTTTACTTTTGCGACTAAAATTTCTTCATTGTTAGTGATTTCGCGACCGTTTTACAGCCTAGCTTATAAATAAATTATATTTAACAGCCTTATGTCGTACTTGTTACTGGTTGCTGTAGTTTTATCAGAAAAATCCTGTGAAATTCAAGTTGAATGATGCATGACTTTTATCATTGATTTCTTACTGAGAAATGTATCATGGGTGCACTTATTTAGAAACTACGTTGTGCAATGCTCATGAAATTTCTAGGAAGTCTTCATTTCTAATTTCTGGTTCCAGTAGAAGTAGGTTACTTTTGCGACTAAAATTTTCAAAGTTAGGACTAAATTTTAGGAATTACTCGCAAATTGTGATCGAGAATTTTTTTTAATATCAAGCCCTGTATACTGTCATCATGTGACTACAACGTAGATCAGTGGTTTAAAAAAAAAAAAAAAACTGCTGGTCATCAATTTGAATCCACATGAGATGCATTTTTTTTTTCAGATTGGACCACCAGGAGATCCTGGCGCGAAAGGAGATAAGGTAAGTAGCTTATTGCAAGAAAACTTGGAATGTTGTATGAACCTCCAAAAATTATTGACAACCACATTTTCTTTTCCAAGACAAGCTGTGTGCTCAGGGGTGGTACAAAAAATCATGCAGTTTTCCTAGTGTCTTTTCACCTCTTTTTCCCCAGTGGATCGATAATTCTTGTACAGGCAGTTCTCTCATAGGCAGACACCTGCAGGAATTGGAAAAAGTGTCTGTCAGTTAAATGTCTGTCTACAGGAATTATTCTGATAAGCAGACACCAAAGGAAAATAGGGTAGATATCGGTTTGTGAAAGAGATAAGAAGGAAAGTAGACCATGACGGACATCATGGCCAGAATGTGACAGTATACAAATGAGATTTCCAACAACTTAGGAATAGACAATTTACTTTCCCATGGACAAATGGAGATATGATGGAACCTATCTCCACTGTTCCGTTGCTCTGTCAAAGATCATACTTTTGTGGATTCACAAACTGAAGACAAATTTAATGGACAAGAGTCCAATATTATGGATGGGGTATCCACTTACAAGAGAGTGTAGATAAAAGAAAAAGACAATTTTCACTTTCAAAAGTGCCCACATCTGCTTATGAGAGAGCATCTGTTCACTGGAATAAGTAATTACAGAGTATGCCTGGGAGGGGTGAGGGGCAAAAAAAAAATTTGAAGAAAGTATCCCTAAGTAGAGCTGTCTACTCATGAGAATGTCCGTTAGCACAGAGACTGATGGCTGTATCGAATAATGTTGCTTGTGCTGCTGTTAATGACTGTTTATCTCATTTCAAAGGGTGATCAAGGAGCTGCAGGATTTCCAGGACCTCGTGGAAACCGTGGAGAACCAGTAAGGTGTCATGTTCAATAGAATGTATAATCTTGCCTGTTTGAACATGTTGACCTGTAGCTAACAGGTAGTGTGAAAGACTGTTGGTAAGGAGGTTAGGGTTGGAGACGTGTTTGAACATGTTGACCTGTAGCTAACAGGTAGTGTGAAAGACTGTTGGTAAGGAGGTTAGGGTTGGAGAG